GGCCTCTCAAGATGAGAAGATGCAATGATGCATGCATTTATGACTATCAGGAATGTCAGCCTTAAGGCATAGTAGGGACTTCTCAGAATTTCACAGTAGGCTCCAGAGAAGGGAAATACTTACCTGAAGCAGACTGACAGTCTATCAGATATGGTTGAAGTTGGAGTAGCTACTATGGAACACCTGCCCTTCCCATTCACTCACAGCCACTCCCCCAAATCACAACATTATTTTCTCCTTGTACCTGAACTGAAATCTTCCCTGTCGTCACTAATTGATCAACTATCATCAACCCTGTAGGCAAGTTCTGGAGAACAACTAGAAATCAAAGAGGAATTGGAGTCAAATTAGATCAATTAGAAAGAGCACTGGGAAAACTAAACCATATTCCCAACTGCTGATTTCAGGCCCAGGCTCCACTCAGTTTAGGATAAATACCATCCTAAGTGACACAGTGTACCATGAAAGTTAGCATCCTCTCCAAACTATGGTTGTTTTTTTTTTCCCCTCCATATTATTGTATCCCTTTTTCAGCATAAGAACCACAGTTTCCTTAGAAAATAAGCTAACCCTTAAAATTTCTTAGACCTCATCCTTGAAAACCTCTTTCTTTTTCCCCTCCATCAAATTTACCACAAGGCTCATCAACGCCCTCTTAAAATGTAGCCATCCATGTCTCCATCTTCACAGCCAGCTCCTCAGTCCAGGCACCATCTAGTCTCCTGAAATCCTGTGACATTCTCCCTCCAAATTGGCTTCTCCACCTCTAGTCTTGGCCTGTGGTAATTCATTCTCCACCCAGTGGCAACACTTGTATCCTTAAGGAGAAATCAGTTCACATCCTTGTTCTTCTTTTGAACCCTTGAATTGCTTTCTATTGCCAGAATAAAGCCCAGCCTCCATCCTGCCTAGCTCAGCAACCTCACCTGCACCACTGCACCCTTGTTCTCTCTGCTGAAAACCTGTGGTCTCCTCTGGTTCCTGTCTTCATACCATGTACTTGGAGACTGGAGAGGAACAAATGGATAGTCCCGGGCTTTACACATAGCAGGCACTATTTTACAGTGAATGCTGAAAGGGAGAAAAAATAGGAAATAAAGGCTGAAAAGTATCTTATTTTATAGCCAACTAATTTGTTTTCCTCTTGTAAGGGCTCCAGGCAGATATTCTAATAGGATTTAGAACAATTAAAAAGCCTTGCTTTGAAGGTTTGCAAAATATAGGTTGCATACTGAGAAGAACTATATTGAATAGCCATATTCCCAGTATGCATTTGGATGCCCTGAGCATCTTCAAGCATTTGTGACTGGCCTGCAACACGGAGAATTTCTCCTCCTTCTGGTCAGAGGACAAGGCCCTAGAGAAATTCAAATGCAATTTAAAAGAGTCCTTGGTCAGTATAGCTATTTGCATTCAAAGGAAGTCATTTCTGAGGCATTCCTTTCAGAATTCCAATTAGAGATTTGAAACACCCACATATAAGTGAGAAAGTTTAAATTGAGGTATAGAACCATATTGAGGTTACTAACGTAATAATGTTTGAGCCATCAAATAAATGTTCCATTGTACTTAGTTCATAACACATTTCAAATTATGTCTGGGTTAGTTTGGGTTAATAGTCCCTTTAATTATTCTAATGAGGCTTGCTAGCTTGCCAAGCTATATTCTCTTTCCATTTAGCCTCATCATACTACTGCCTATTTTTAATGGCTTCTCTAAAATTGGTGCTAAGGGAGTCAGTTCTGTCCAAGGAAGAGAAAAGTTTATCTGTGACTCTTAATTCATTCAATGATTCCACAAAGATGGGACAGCACCTATTGTGTGCTAGGTGGTGGGCCAAGCACTGGAGACAGCAGAGCAAGACAGTTTCTACCTTGCAGGAATCTACAGTCTGGTTAGGGGTGAATGAATAATTAGCATATCTGCTCAGGAAAAGAGTCAAAGCAGGACAGCCTTCTTGAAGATGGCATTCAGGAGGGTTGTTTGATGCTGAGACACAAGGAAAAGTCAGAATAAGCCAAGCTGGGAGTCCACAGCAGAGGAGTCAGCCTAAGCAAAGACCTGGAGGCAACATGCAGGTGACCTGAGCATCCTACGTGCACCAGCCTCCATCTGGTGGTTCACCTTGAGCTCTTGGGTCTCCAGAAGGCCAGATCCACTTTTGTCATTCTCAGGTTCAAGTTTCAAATGGGAGATCTTCAAGAGGCACCCCTCCCCACCCACACTTCCCAAAAGTTCATAATGCACTTTTTATTTTGCCAAAGACAAATGCAAACGATAAGAACGCTGTGAAGCGAAATGCACAGAACCAATGAGAATGTGCAAAGGAAACTTATTTTAATAACTGTTTGAATTAATTTATTTCTGCATTCATGCAATTATTTAGAGGCAGAAAGGGTGACTTTAATTTTTTTACTTGCATTTTACCGCATCGTACTAGAACAAAAGCTTCACAAGGGCAAGAACCTTTGCCTAATTTGCTTCACTGATGTTTCCCATGTGGCTAGAATAGTGCTTGGCACACATTAAGCACTCAATAAATATTTGGTTAAAGACATAATGTACTTTATGGGGGATATTATGCTCTGTGGGAAATCTTAATTCTCAAGGGTCAAAAGAAGAGGTAGGGTTCCCTGGGAGTGAGCAAGTATGGTCTTAACATTGCAAATAGATCAAAGACAATGCTGTTCAAAGGAAAGGAACATATGTGTGGTCTGTGATTGTCTCATCAAAGTTTTAGGGAAAGTCTCAGTTTCTGTAAATGCTATCTATATATGGCAGATGAGCATGACTTTTAATATACAATCTCAGATGTTCTATAAATCCACTCAAAATCCAGAGCCTTATTTTTCAGAATTGGAGGAAATTGCCCTCAAACATTATTGCGGACACATGGCCACACTTGTGACCATGTCCCTGAATTTTCTAAGGCTCCCACTGGATACTACTGAGAAGCCCCCATTCCAAGGCTTGGCCCCTCCCTGACCATCGAGTCTGCTTGTGGGATATGAGAGCTATTGTACCAAGGGCCCCGCCATCCCTGACCCTTTCAGAACTGTTCCGCTAATCTTGTGGTCGCCATCCTTTTTTCTTTTCAGACCTTGAGCACTTCTAACCTGCCAAGTCACCCCTCCTGCCCTCCCTCCTCTCCTGGACTCACTGCATAGTCACTTCAATGAGCTCAGTCACCTCTGCTTTCTGCCCAGCAAAAAGCCCTGAGGCACAGAACACAGTCTGGCTACATGCATGCAGCTAGAAGTGGGACAGAGAGAACACAAGAACAAACAAAGGCTCTCGATAAATTATTCATCCCACACAGTACTGTGCAACCATTCCAACATCTTCATTCACAAGCCAATTAAGAAAACCCCTCTAGGAGAACCTCAAGGACTGGGGACCAAATACCCGCCACCGGCAACGTTTGCTCACATTTCCATGACAGTAAATAGAAAGCGAGGAACCTTGGCCAGACACATGGCTCCTTCCTCGGAGCTTGCTGGAGCTGGAAAGCAGGGAGGCTCAGTTCTTGCCAGCACACGTTTGAATCCTAAGTGAACTCCCCTGGCTTCTGGGCACATCTTTCTGGTGTGTGAACCCTTCCACCTTCTGCCACTGCGAAGCTTTTCTTCCATTCTCACCTCAAACCCCGGAGGAAGCTTCCCTGAAACTTCAAAAGTTACTCACTCAGACACTGCTTTGGTGGGTGGAATATAAATGTTCAAGAGTCCTGACATCTTCTAGGGGATCTTTAAAAAGAACTTCAAAGAAAGAGCTCTCTCCCGCTTTGAGGATTTTTCCACATAAGTTATAAATGAAAATAATTGCCCCTGTCTATATGTCTCTGATCCCGTCCAGAGGGACCGGTTTATTAAACAGGCCTGAGAGATTGTCAGGAACGTGCTCACAAGCCTCAGCTGTGCCTGGAACCACGACAAGAGTTTGCGTGGCCACTGGCATTTTTCAGCCTCTTCTAGCAGCTTCCATGACAAAATGTGGACATTGTCACTTGAAAATCAGGCTGTATTCTCTCTGGGGATAATTATCCCTTTCCTCTTCTGAGTACTAAATTAGCTTTTATAAAGAAGAGAGAGTAAACTTTTGCGAAATTAAGATCTAAAACAGCATCTTATTCGGGATAAGACATCTTCCTGTATTTTATAGAGCAACTTTACCATACATACACCATGTGTAGAGAGGGGAAAATGTTGGAGTTAAAAGGAAAAGCTTAGAAGCTAGCTAGTGCTCACTTCTCCACTGAAAGATGAGAAAACACAATGGAAGGTTTTTAGCTTTGGTCCTGGGCCCACACATAGGAAAAGGCTGAGGCGGAGATGAAGCAAACACTGCCAAGTCTGCTCCTCAGCTTCCAGGAAGAGCACCTACTTCATAGATATTTTGAGAGGACTGAGTGAAATAACACCTGGAAAAAAGCATAGGCCAGGTACAGGTACGTAGTAGGAGCTAAGTACATTAGCTAACCTACTTGGTAGCTAAGGAGGCAAGTGTGATTCTGGCCCCAAACAGTGCCAGCTGCACATCAGCAGTATATGGAATTTTTTTTTTTAATTCAAGCCTAGACTCAGATGTGGACCTTGAGTTAATTGGTCTCAGGTGGGGCCCAGCTTGCGGCCCAGCTTGCGGCCCAGCTTAGGTCCCTTGGAAGAATTTTGCCAGGTGATTCTAACAGGTAGCCAAAGTTGAAAATCACTGGTCCAAGGGGTCCAAGAACAAGGTACCCTTATCACTGGGTAAATGCAAGGCAGATGGTAAAGGAGGCAGGGGAGAACTTTAAATCTTACAGCAAGGTTTACAAAGAATTTCGAAAATAAAATCTTTCGTCAATATCAAGTGTGTGATTGCTACAAAAGATAAATAATAATGGCCAACCTAATTAAAATGAAGCAATTAGGCTTCATAAGAGTCTTACTAAAACAACAGAGTTCTCATCTGTCCTGTGGCTAAGGAAATTTGTTGACACAGCTGAAAGAGAAAAACACACCTAGATTAACAAGGGGGCAGTCATTTAATGCAGAAATCCAGTTAACGTAAGAGAACAACAGATAGGAAGCTGAACAACAGATAGGACTTCAAACAATACTGCATAGTGTCACGGATTAGCTCTTACACGGTTGATCTGTTTTTCTTATGATTTCGATTCCATTACAAAGACAGAGAAGAGACTTCAATTAAATAATAATAATAATAATAAATAATAATAAGGCAACAGAAGAATCCTCCTGTGACAAGGAACAGCCACAAATAATGCACAAATATCAGGTGCTGACACAACAAGACACCATTCGAACAAGTTCTGAAGATGCTGCATTAAAATTTAACAAGCATTGTACAGTGACAAGAAAATTATACTTGCTTTGTTACGAACGAATCCTTTTGCAAATAGAAATGACTCTCAGGTAATTGTTATATACAAACTTTCTGAAATAAATGGAAATCATACAAATTTTTTTTTTTCCGATGCAGTTCCTCTTCTCCTACTCCTTCTCAAAGCATAAGTAGTCATTAAAGCACTTGAATCCACAGTAGTCTTGTCCTTAGAAAGGTTGGGAGGTTTTGCATGATTTTATATCAGTCATCCAGAAAGGGCTGCAGGCAACAGGTTGGAATGTAAAAGACGGCTTTTGTGCTTGGAATCCTGATGTGAACTCCGCTCCACTTCCCCCAGGAGTTGCCCACACCGTGGAGGGGCCTTGAATGCAGACAGTCATACCGTTGAGTCCCTGCCAGACTTTAGATGTACAATCTTGGTCCGGCTAATAAACGGATAAGCGATGCAGAGACCTCCAGCTGCCACAATGAAACCTAAACTGCACCAGGCACAAAAGATAGACCAGCTGTAGCCGTGTTCCACATCATCAGGTAGGCTATAAATGAGCTTCGGGAGCCGGTTCAAATCGTAAGAGATACTGGCAGCATACGTGCAGAGGGAAATGGTGCAAAATATCCCTATAAATAAAACAAAGAGAACAGAACCATCAGTTACGGCTTTGCCTGCCGCCAGGCCAACACCAGGCAGTCCTTTCTGAAAATTGGACCAACCAATAAGGCAACCACTCCAAATTCATAAAGATCAATTTATTGTTCTTTTACTTGAATTAATTCATTCAACAGACGAGGACAAAACTTCTATGTGCCAGACCCCACACTAGGGACTAGAGATACCAGGTGAAAAAGATAGACAGGAAACTTCTGATAACTTCAATGATTCAGAATTACTTGCTGTGAATGATTATGCATGTTTAAATTTATTTTGGTTTTTATTCTTTAAAACAATTCAATAAACTAGGCGTGAAGGCACGCCTGTAATCCCAGCAGCTTGGGAGGCTTAAACAGGAGAAATGCAAGCTCAAAGCCAGCTTAGCAACTCAGTGAGGCCCTGTCTCTAAATGAAATACACAAAAAATGGGCTGAGGATGTAGCCCAATGGTTGAGCACCCCTGGATTCAATCCCTCATACTAAACAAACAAACAATTTAATAAAAACTCTATTTTTTTTGTTTGTTTGTGGTGCTGGGGATTGAACCCAGGACCTTGTGCATGTGAGGCAACTAGTCTACCAACTGAGCTATATGCCCAGCCCCCAACTGTTCAGGAAAAGAAATACTCTTTCTCAAACCTAACACAAAATAACTATCATGTTTACTCCAGACCTGACTTGAATTTTTTTTATATGGTGGCAATCATTACACACAGTCTGCTTTCTTTCTTAATAAATATTATCATAAAAATTGATCATGTCTCCTATAGTAATATTTCAATAAATTCTTACAAGTAGCTCAGATTGTTTTTTTAAGGTACAGATTTTGGCACATACTAGGGCATCAAACAAATTTCCTAAATGAAGAATGAATGCTTTTTAATAATATAAATTAAGTCTAGTAATTTGGATAAAGAGATCATATACTTTCAACCATTCAAACTGTAAGCAATTTAAGGGACATAAGTAGACACACACCAAATTTTACTTTTTTTATATCAATACATGTAAGTATAACTGTCCTTCAAGAAAGTAAAATCCAGACCAATACAAATGCTTCAAAAGCCCAAGCCATAGGATTTTCAGTGCTTAAGTGATATTCCAAGGATGTAGACACTTCTACTCCACCGCAAGGGACACAACCAACGTTCTTTTTGGACAAGGAGGGGATCGGAACAAGCAGCCAATACATTAGAGATGAGGAATGAAAACAGAAACTGACACCCAGTCGAGTATCAGTTGCAGTTCTGTTGGTCTGTTCTGGGTCCTACACATCTTTTCATCATATTCTGGTTTATCCCTGTGTTCAATGGAGGCCACACCTACTTGCTGGGAAATTGCTTTGGAACCTTTAGGCATACAGGCAGCACTAGAAACAAACAGATTTTAGGACTGAAAAGAGAGTTACAAGAAGCAGAATCACCATCCCTCCCTTTAATATATAGCTTTGGAGATGGAAAACACCAGAAGAAAAAACAAAGACACAAACTCAGAGTAAGTAGCAATTTGAAGGAAATAAAAATCACTTAATGCCATTTTTAAAAGCTCTAATTCTATTCAAATCATGTAAGGATATATTGCCTGAATCTTTTTTCCAAATGTGCACTTAGAAAAATAAATATTCTAACTTACAAGGATACTTGATCTGAGATAATTTGATATTTTCTACTCTTTGCCTAATTCTGTTTTTGAACTCTAAAGTGATTTCATTTTTCTAAAAGAGCAAAATCTCATCTTTTTTCTTCTGACTCCATTTTTTTTTTCACAGCAGACCCATCACTTTGAGTTCTCCAGAAGAAAGAACTAGACGGAAATAATTCTTTCATAAAGGAATATCCTATTCAAAAAAAAAATATTCCATTGCTTTCTCCAGACCTTATGAAGAGCAAATATTCTGACATCTCTGGGAATGTTTTTATTTTTACTGGCACCAAAAATATAAAAGACAATGTTTATGTATAACAAGTCCCTTTTAATGAATGCTAGCAATAGAACAAGGCCATTAGTGGGGGAAAATTGATCTCTGGAGTAGCAACAGGTAAAATATAATAATAGAACAATGACCTATTTTCAGGGGAAAAAAAACCCTCAATTTTGCATTTAGCTGTCTACACACAGCTGAATGCCTAACAACAAACATTTTCCTTTTTTTTTCTTTTTACAAATACCACGGTTTTATGACCTCTGATAGCTTTGAGTTCAAACAGACTTTTAAGCATCCTTTGATGAGTGCATGCATGGAGATGGGATATAAGAAATAATGTATTCTGTTCCCTGGCTCTACTACTATTCATTGTGTGACCCTGAAATTACCTAACCTCTCTGAGTCTCCGTGTCTTCATCTAGGGAAAAAAAAATGGGGGACTTGGTAACTGAAGCACTTATGATGTCAAATTTCTACAATTCTGCTAGCCAAATAGAAGACGTGGAAAAATACATTTTTCTAAAACTTCTTAGTGAATCTAGCCCTCAGTTTTATGTAACCAAATAAAAAATGAAGTGCCCTGTGTATTTTTCCTTCTGTATGTACTCTCTTCAATTTTATACTGAAAAGGAATTTTCATTAGTTCCCTTCCCCTATCAGCTCCCCAAAATTGCTATTGGTGGAATAAATTTTATTATTACATCAAGGGTTCATATTGAATAGAAAAGGCCAAATAGGAAACAATCTACTTTGAAGACTTAGCCAGGGCAAAGATTTCTGTCTTCAATGTTATAGATGGCTGTGCTCTGCCTAGGCACTTGGTGTGTGCTTACTCTGTGGACACTGAATGATGTCACTAACAGAAAATCTTTGCTCAAGCTTCCAGAAAGCTGAAGTTCCTTGAAGCTAAATCTGTTGCCCCCCATAAGTAAAAGCGTGGGATTTCTTGGCATGCTTTTGGCTTCTACTTTTACTCTTGGATCCATCTTGCTTCTTGTTATGGTTTGGATCATAAACATCTCCCAAAGGCCACATGCTGAAGGCTCAGTTCCCAGCTTGAGGCACTAGTAGGAGGTCATGGAACCTTTAGGAGGTGGTGCCTAGTGGAAGGAAATAGGTCTTTGGGGGTGTGGTCTTTGGGAGCTTGCCCTGAAGGGGATATTAGGACTCCAGCCCCTTCTTCTCTCTTTGCCACCATGAGGTAAGCAGCTTTGCTCCACATGCTTTCTCTGTCACGAGGCTCTGTCTTACCTCAGGCCCAAAGCCAACAAACAATAGTTTGAAACTTCTGAAACCATGAGCCAAAACAAACTCTTCCTCCTTTAAGTTGATTTTCTCAGGTTATTTTGTCATAGTGACAGAAAGCTAATCTACTTTGCAAATCTGGTTGTCCCTTGTCCTATTCCTTTTACTGATTTGTATTTTTACGTGTAATATTATATTTTGGGGGCCACTTGGGTCCTTTTTAATAGACACTCAGCAAACTTTGATGAAAATTTACTTTATTCCCTGTTGCCTTGATTCACTCAACAAAGAGTGGAAATCAGGTCTATTGGCCCACAAATATACCCCCTTTCTTCCCTACCCTCTCTCCACAAATGCCCTCACAGGCTGCTGCCCTTCCATAATATCTATTTTCCTTTCAAGGAGAAGCTGTTTGGGGTAAGATGAAAGCAAAGGACAGATGAACAAGAAAAGATTCTCCTTTTCGGACCTTCAAATCTCAAGGAAATTTACAAATACCTAGCTCTCAGAGCTGTTGTTTGTGGGATGGGCTGGGCTATTTGGGATTATTATAAGGAAATGTATTGAGAGGAAACAAAGCATTGTTTCCAACTTTTCCAATAAGCTTTTGTAAAAGAAGCTTGCCCCAATCAAAGATACTTTTTTTAAAAAAAAATATCTGTCTATATCCATTCATCTGTTGAAGGGTATCTAGGTTGGATCCATGGTTTAGCTATTGTGAATTGAGTTGCTTTAAATATTGAGGTGGCTATGTCACTGTAGTATGGAGAATATAATGCTAAGCAAAACAAGCCAATCCCCCCCAAAAAACAAAGGCTGAATGTTTTCTTTGATCCATAATGGGGAAGGTGGTTAGAGAAGAATGGAGGAACTTTGGATGGGGCAGAGAGGAGTGAGGGAAGGGAAGGGATGTGTGGGTGGGAAGGATAGTGGAATGAGACGGATGTTATTACCTTATATACATGTATGATTGCATAACCAATGGGACTCTACAACATGTACAGGTAGAAGAATGAGAAGTTGTGCTCCATTAATGCACAATGTATCAAAATGTATTCTGCTGCCATGTATAACTAATTAAAACAAATTTTTTAAATCCTTCTAAATTCGAAAACACCAAGAAAAAAAAACATTTTTTTAAATAATGAAAGTATGCTTATTGTAGCTAGATTGATAGTTTAGGTTAATTTTGATACCATGAATTCTATTTTAGGTTCCATAAGCACATCTTCCAAATTCATGTATACGAGTTTGCTGGGGCTGCCATAGCAAAGCACCACAGACAGGGTGACTTAAGAGGATTATGAACCTGAGATTAGTGCATCAGCAGGACTGGTTGCTTCTGAGTTCTTGCCTTGTAGATGGCCATCTTCTGTGTGTGTCTTCACATGGTGTCCCCTTTGTAACTGTGTCCAAATTTCTTCTTTTTGAAGGACAGGAGTTGCACCTGGTCTTTAAAAACCCTACTTTCAAATAAGGTCACATTCTGAGGTTCTGGGGATTAAGGCTTTAACACAGAATTGGGAGACATAAAATTCAACCCATAACAATATGTACACACAACCGGTGAATGATGTAGATTTCAATCTCTTTTGTTGGTCTTAGTAAGACTGTACTATTTTAAGGGTTGGTTCATCAGTTAGTCAACAATTGTTCCCAGCCCTACTTCTGATTATGTTAGAGGTAACTTAGTTTAACCAGTTCTTGCCGGTCTCAGCCATATTTTGTTGGACACCCATGTGGTTAGGAACTGAAGTATTCCTTCCACTCCACTTTCCATCTTCTCAGCCATAGATAAGATAGACTTCTTTGACTTCCACACATACCTGACAGAGCTGAGCACATGGGGTGAAGGAAACCTGCTGAACAAAACTTAATTCTGCCATACAGTGAGTTTCTACCAACTTAAGAGCCTGGCCATCCCAAATTACCCCGAGTAGGACTTACCTATGTAGCAAGTTATTTGCGGTAATACTGCATTGCCATCAACAGCAATCTAATTAATGAAAGAGATGTAAATGGGATACTAAAGGACAAATAAGAAACTCTGGCATGCAAAACTTTCGGAATCTAAGGGTCCATCTTGAAGATCCGTGGGGAACGAGGCCACCTCTCCTTCATTCTTCTCTCACCCTCCCCCTTCCTCTTCTCCCCTGACAGCTGATACTGTTTCAGCTAGCTGGTGGCCCCAGGAAAGAGAGATTCTCCAGTCCTGTGCTTGCTCCTGGCTATTGCTGGTAGTATCTTCAAAAGAGTGAATAATTACTGTTCCCTGACAAGCCCTATATGCATCTACTGTTCTTATAAAATATTAAAAGTTTTTCTGCCAATATTCTTAATTAGAAGATGCAATATTACACAATTGCAGGGCTAGAAGGGATATTTTCAGATCAGGACAGCAGTGAATTTATGCTACTTTCCCAGATCATCAACCTAATGCCCTATCCTAAAAATCTTCCTGGTGCCTGTGGCCAGCTGGTAAGATGTAATTAGGGCAACTGGGCCCATTCTTTTAACCTCCCTCCTTTGATGTGCTTAAAAGGTTGAAAGGAGTAGAAGCCGCTTCACAGTGGTTAGCTTGCTTGATAAATAACCTAACTACAACACCCAAAGGCATAAACATTGATTGCCTCCCCCCACCAAACGATGACCTGCCTATCATTCTGGTCTTTTTGCCCTTCCAGCAAAAAATGCCTCCTGTTACTTTTCACATGGATTACTCAAACTGTCAGGCCCACAGTGTCTTAACTAAATGACTGGGCAGGGATAACAGAGACAGACCAAAACTTTAAAAAACAAGGAAATAGTAAGTAAAAATAAAAACAGATCTACAATCTGTAAAGGACGAGGAGGAGGAGAACAATATTTTTCTGAAAGATTACAGCAAGTCTTTCAGTGGTAAAGCCTGAACTTCTCTAACATAATCTATTATTGTCCTTATTGATCCTGCTTAGTGTGAATATTCATAAGTTTTGCTGTAGAAATGTCAATGTATTTCATTTCAAGATGCTACCCCAGACCTTGCTGAGAGTGTTAGATAATATTGGATACATGTACCATATTACCTTTCTAAAATAAAATTTTCAGGATCTTGAGTTACAAAACACAACCTAGCCCCAAGGGTTTCAGATAAAAAAAAAAAAAATCTGTAGTTTCAGATTCTAATTGATGGATGGCCTAGATAATTTCATACACCTACTACACAGACACAGACCACACTCTACTACAGCAGAGTCTTATCATTTGTCTGCATTAAGGCAAAGGAATGGGCAATCCAGGGTGGATGTTAACTGCCCCTGACATTTGAATGGTGCTTCCTAAGCACTGTCTCCTCTTTATCTGCTACAAGGATGGGAATGTTATATGCTGAGTGTGCTTTTTCAAAACGGCAGTGACCACTCAGGGCACAGCCTGTCAAGGAGAATGTATTCAGTGGGCAGGGAGACCCCCATCAAGGGAGGTCTAAGCTCCAATTTTTGAGACTCCCAGTGTATTAAGGGATATTTAAAATACTTACAACAGAAATATAAAAATTATATTTTAAAAGGTTAGCATTAAATAAAGTAACCCTTTAAGATATTTATAATTTAAATTATAATAATGACAAATAGCATTACTACAGCAATCTCATAGAATGCATCCTTTAATGTGGATGGAAATATCCATTCTCAGCATACTCAGAGTAGTACGCCGTTGTACTGGGCAGAAGAATTGATTGCCTTGATCCTCTGAGTGTGCCTCTGTGTCAGTGTGTAGCCTCAGAGCATGTGACATCAAAAGTCTAAATTCAAGGCCCTTAGGGGATGTGAGGTCTGCCCCCGTCTTGCTCAAGTAACCCTCACAGGTCCCAGCAAAAAGAAAGGGGATGCAACCTGGCTCCCAGATGTGAGTAATGGCATTGCTGCTCCTCATACGGGTAATCAAGACCTGTCTGCTTAAAACAAGGCAAAAGGAGGAAGACTGTTCAATAGTTTCTATTTTCACAGGCTCAGACTGTCACATCATTGATGTTCTCCATTGAAGGTTTGGCTAATAAGTTCAGGCAGAGAATGAAGATGCCAGTGCATTAGAAGAGGCTAAGATTAGCATCAAAAATCTGTGGGAGGGCTGTTGTCAAGAGCTGCTGAAGACAGTCTGCTTAATTAAAATCAATTTTTAACCCTTATTTGCTCTCATTCCCCGTTACTGCATGTGAAGGTTCTACAGCCAATTTATCTCAAGCAGTGGAAGAACATAGTTACCTCAGTTGTTTATAAAGAAAATTTCAAGACATTATTTTAATAACAAGACAAACCTCTCTAAATCCCACAGCAAGGCACAGACGAATACAGAACCCAAGAAATGCCAGGCTTTCTCCTGTGCCCAATCAACACTAAACATCCACCTTCCTTTTCTTAAAACTAGACCAACCTCCCCAGGCCTCCCAGAGCCCACTCACTGGGCCTGAGTTTCATGGCCTCATGATTTATTTTAATGCTAACAATTGCTTTATATGCTAAAAGCATCCTAAATTATTCAAGTACTATTGCATATTAACAGTGTTCTTTAAAAAATAATCCTAATGAGGCTTTTGTCAAGTCTAGAGAGCCTCTTTTTCCTGCTAAAGGATTGTGGTGTGGTGCCTTTTGGGAGAGGGGGGGAAATCTGCACTTATTAGATATACTTAAATGAAAAAGGGGGGGCACTGATAATGGGGTGGAAAGTGAGGGAAATTTTTAATGATCACTAAGCCCCAGCAAAGACTAAAAGGAATCCTCTGGTCTCTTTTTCTAAGCTGCTCTGTCCTGCTCACTCTACAATTTGGATTTTAAATACATCCCTTGGGCAGGCACCCAGTGGCTGACCTCAGAGTTCAAATCCTCTTCCAAAATGTCAGGAACTTGTGTAAGGTTCCTGGTGCCACTGTGCATTCACCAAAATCTGGAAAGTTAACTTGGGTTTTTGCTCAGAACTATGCAGGGTCCATGGGATTTCTGAATAGTTTATCAGGATGCTAGAAAATAGGCAGATAGGAGGTGAAGGAAGGGCCCAGGGCCAGCAAGCCAGAAAGCAAAGTGTCACCCACCTGCCGGCTGTGTGTGACAGATAGACAGACAGACAGAAAATGCTGTAAGCCCTGGAGGACAGGCTTAGAAAATGACCAGTTATAGTGAGAAGACCTAAAAAACTTCATCATGGTCACCTGAGTAACAGTTCTCCAGGGAAGTGGAAATAAGCTTATTGAACATGGCCATCGAAGGTGGCATTAGTTCCGATGCTGGGTACACCTGGAGGAACTTCATTTGTCATTCACTCATCATTAACACAGTAATTTTTTATGAAGGGTAGGAAGAAAGACTTCTTCCCTGCCGCCACCTTCAGCTTGTGTTAGCCATCAACTCAACTCCTGGCCATTTTTAGACAAAAATATCCTTCACTTGTTAATCAAAAATTCCCTGGCCATGTCTCCACACATGCCCCTCCCAGTCTCATGCTTTAAGTCAAGTTCCTCTGCTTAAATCCTTCTAGTGGCTTCCATCACCCTTAGCTTCAAATCCAAACTCATCACCATGACCAAGAAAGCTCTAGAGATCTGGCCACTGCCTATGGCTCCTGCTTGGTGTGATACCCATCTTTCCCTCCTTTTCTTTGGTCCTCTCCAGCCTCGCTGGTTTTCTTTCTGAGGCTGAAAACATAGAAACACATTCCTACCTAGAGTGGGGTGCTAAGCTTCCTGGGCCTGCAGCACACTCCCAACCACTGGCAGCTTCTCACAGTTTAACTCAGAAATCACCACGCAGTAAGGCCTTCCTAAGCCCCTGTTCTACCCCATCCATTTACTTCATAGCTTTCAACAGGATCATAAACCATGGCTGATGTATCCCCACAAAACAGACAAACAGAGAGGCTCTTGTGTTAGAGTCTGTAAACAAGTCAGGATGGCGCCTGGCATTTTGCCAGAGGGAGTGGTTTGTGAAGTAAGGCCAGGGAGCCATGAAGTGTGGAGATTCCTTATTGGTTGACTGCTGTATCGAGTTTATGTTAATTAAGATAAGCTGTGTGGAATGTATATATACCCCTCCTGTCCTACAATAAAGGGCTCCCACTCCTGGGTATCAATCTACACAAGTTGTTGGTCAGCCCCCCGGTTATTTTGCTGCAGCCGGACTGCAGCACTCTTGCCCTATTTTTCACTTCTCTAGTATCCAGAGCAGTGTCTGACACATGGAAAGTCCTCAAAAAATATCTGTCAAGGTCCCTGCTCTGAGGCATGTACTTTGAACGGACTTTTTGCCCAGGAATGAGCTGTGCTTTTCTATCTCCCTTGCTCTCATTGGAAGCTCCTAAGAAGCCGAGGCCCACTTCTGCCAAGAGTCCAGACCAGGCTTTGTTTGGTGCATGGTCTAAAAGCATAGGACAGAAAAGAAACAGACCTGGCTCACATGGAGAATGAACCCAGGACACTTCCATCTCACCTGCTGACAGGTCACAATGCAGAACTCACAGCTGCATTTTGTTTTCTTTAAATTCTGTACTTCCCTCCAAAGCCAAATGACCTTCTGGTTGCTCTTCTCACAAATTAAAATAAAACTAATGGAGATGTACCAAAGTGAAGTTTGCTGCATACTGTAACAGCGTTCACCTTGGCTGGGAGAGGCAGCCTGAGGTGTGCAGCATACCTGTCATGAGGAACAGGAGTCCGGCCACATGCTGGGTCAGGCTTTCCTCCCAGAAGAAGCTGACGGTGGCCACGATGCAGCCACACAGCAGGACAGCTACGGCCATGCCCAGGAAGCCAGCAGTGATTCTTCTTAAGTCTAATCTCAAAACAGAGATAATCAAAATCAGACGACTCAGGAAAGTAAATGGAAAGAGAACAGAGTTTTGTGTACTATGTGACAACTACTCAGTTACACAGACAGGCTTTGGGCTGGAGGGAAATGGTTTGGGGAATTCTCTTCCCAGGTGTCTGTCCACAGAGACTAGATGCAGTATAACCAACGGAGGGGCAGAGTCTATCCCTCCAAGTGCACAGAGAAATCCATCCAAGTACACAGCACACCAGAGGGCAACCACAAGGTCAGTAGAGTAGCAGAGAACAAGGGACTTAGCAAACTGAGAGTGAGGCAGGGTTGAGAACTCCCTTTATTGGCCCTAAAAGAGCAATACAAATGAAGGTTAATTAGTGGCTGTAATGAATCTGTCATTGGCGGAAGAGCCTAAACAGAGAACTACAGTGAAATAAGGTTTTGTCTGAGTGTCAAGGGCAAAGATTACTCTGTTTTCCACTTACATTTCATTTACATCTGCCTATTTTAGAAAAGGATTTGAGAAAGTGAAGTCAATGGTGGGGAATAAAATAATGGCCCAAAGTGCACAGAGGAGGTGTCTACTCATCAACACCCTCTCTCCGCCAAGCACCCATTTATCCAGGTGAAGGAGAAACTGTTCCCAAGGGTCAAGTCTCCACTGGATACCCAACAGTCAGGCTTAGTGGTGACATCTATCCAGACCCATGTTCCCTCCAATTACTAAATTAACACAGCACTCAAGAGTGTCCACCTTTGGCCTATTTTACTTTTTCATACTATTTCCTTCCTTCCTTTTAAGTTTGTTTTCCTAACAAAGCTAACTTTAAAATTTTGCTATCTAAATGCTAAATGTTATGATGCTTCTTATAACCGATTCCAACCACACATCTGCTGCCCTAGGGCTAGACAACCAGAGGGCAAAATAATAAGGACCATGAACACTCAGGGGCATATGGGACCAAGACAAGATGCACAGCACACCACACTGTTGGAAGTGTGTGGGCTTCTCTGCTCATGTGGAACAGCCTGAGCAGCTGCCACCTTGCTATCTGTCTGCAGCTCCTGGTATCTCAGAGGTGCTACATGGAGTAGCTTCTAGCCTTGCTCTTAGCATCTTGGCCACACACAGACTAGCCTTCTTCTTAAAAGGGATTCTCCATTTCTAGCTCAGAGCATCTAAGTAAAAACAGGGTGTCTACCTAGAAAAGGAGGCAGAGCAAGGGATCAGGAGGAGTGGTAATTTAAAGATACCGAGTTAAATGTTATGGATAAAAGGAGTTTGGAGAGATTCATATCTGAACTAGAGAACTGTGATAGTAGTTCAGCCACTATTATCTTACAACCTCTCAAATTCCCTGTGGTTTGAGTGATAGTTCTATCTTCCAAGACTATTAAAAGACACAAAGTTCAGATATAATCCACATGGGATTTGCATTAGTACCAGACATGTTAATCTTATCCAGCAAATGTAGTACAGATATTACCAAGGTGATTTTCTTAGAAAGAGCCATGCATGAGATTGTTAAAAGCATCTTTCTATGAGAACTTCCCCCCAAATTAAAAGAGCGGTAAAATATTGCCTTGTTGGGCCACAATTGGGTTCACAGTGAAGAGATAAGGTTCTTCTTCAGGTTCCACTAATGATCTTTTTCTGACCTGTAACCATGAGGCTTATATGGACAGATAATTAATATGAAGAACTCCAAACATGCTCATAAGGAATTAATAACACTTAGGTATGACTCTGACTTGGATCTATTGAGAAGTGGTAGCTAAAATTTGCCAGCAAAAAAAGAACTTTCAAGAAGCTATATTATTAAGAAATAAGTCACGATTTATCCAGAGATTTTTCCAAGTTTTAAAGTTTGCATTCACAATATTATGTATTATACCAATAATATAATGTGGCAATTAGAGTTTCCATGTAATGTTGCTATCATTGGGATCTGGAACATCCCCAAAAGCTCATGTGTTGAAGGCTTGGTCCCAATGCAGTGATGTTCAAAGGTGGAGCTTTGTGGGAGTGACTGAATCATGAGTACTCTGACCTCATCAGTGAATGAATCCATTGATAGCTGAATGTACTATCAGGAGGTGTTACAAACTGTAGGCAGGTGGGGCATGGACGGAGGAAGTAGGTCACTCAGGGATATGCCCTTGGGGACTCTATCATATCCTTGGCTCCTTCCCCTTGCTCTGCTTCCTGACTGCCATAAGCAGAGCAACTTTCCTTTGCTATGCCCTTTTGCCCTGATATTTCTGCCTTGGAGCCAGTCGACCATGGACTGAAACATCTGAAACCGTGAGCCAAAATAAATCTTTCCTCTCCAAGTTGTTTTTCTCAGTTATTTGTCACAGCAACGAAAAGCTAACACATGTATGCTTGAGATCCAAGGGTCTTTAGCTCTGCAGAGCTGTTTACATACAGAATGAGACCCTGCTTGGACTTCTGCAGTGGCTCTCACTACCAAAGCAGTTGCAGTCCTTGTTGCTTATTTCACCAGAAAAAATGACAATGGCAACCTCTAATTTGGGAACACATTGAAAAGAATTCAATGTAATGTTTTGTTTTCAGGAGCTATCTATCACCAGACAGTTTGAGTCAATAATTTCCACAAAAATATCAGCCCTCTTTAGTTTCACATTACATGGTCCTTTGTAGAGTTTCACATTTCCCCAACAGTGAAAAACAGCTTTTCCTTCCATTGAGATACAGAGGTAACAGACACCCACTGAGAAAATTATGACATACATTCATAAAGATATTTTAGCAGAAATACAAAGGTTTGAGATAAACACAGTAGCTAAAATACATATTGTATAAACAAAGCAAATATAAAAGCGTAGAAAGTATCGTCTTCTTGGTTTGTTAGACAAGTGGAAAGGCAGGTCCTTATTGACTTGGTTAAGAAAATATTCAGTCATCTGGTATATACAGATGCTGCTAAAACAGAGAGGCACAGGCTACACTGTTTCACAGAGCCTCATACTTGATTTTCACACATCTGGCTTATAAACAAGCTGAGCCTACAGCATAGTGAAAAGATGCTCAGAGCCTCTGACCAAATCCCATGGGGTCCAAAGGCACATGTGGGATAAATACTATATTTCAGTCCAAATTTGAGAGGTGTATGGGGCAGGAGAAAGGATTTTGTTCAGGAAGACACAAATTCTTCTCTCTTTCCCAGAAATACTTACGAAGCAGGTGCCATTCATCTTGCTGTATTGTCTTGGTTAAATTGAAAGGAATGTTTCGTAAGCGGATTGGCTGAGAAAAGTGGTACTTGATAGCTGTACACCGCTGTGCAATACCTTGAAGGAAAAAAGAAATGCGATTTACTAGTCTATTCATTTGTAATAGAATTCTGGAGACCTAAGGCAGAATAATTTATCCTAAACTTGGTTGAATGGAAGAGGGGATAGGAATCTTGATGATTCTCATTAACAGAGGCATGTCAGAACAGTAAAAACCTAAACCATGAAATAATTCTTAACTCATGATTCATTTTTTAAAGTATTAAATTTTACAAGGATCTATGTATTACCCGAAATGGTTTTCCATTCCAAGTTTGTAGGACCTAAACATTAAACTACCCAAAAAGAAACGGCCTAAAAGTTTACAAATGGCCAGGAATAATCAGTTCCAGAATTTTAAATTAACACATAAATTACATGTCTGAATTTGACCCAATCTCAAACTTTCAAATAGGTTATATAGAAAAGTTCATTAGGAAGTGCATAATTTGGAAATCAGAAAGCATTTTTCCATTAAGACAACTTCTACATGTGGTGACTCTATCGTCAGTCAAAAGCCCTTGTAACCCTCCCTCAGCTAATGTTATTCTTCAATACAAATGTTATTGGCTTGAGTTATGGATCTTGAGTGAAAGGGTAATACTGAAAGTGGAAAGGAAAAGGAAAACAATTATTTTTCCTGCTTCATCTGGTTGCATGGCTAGCCCTAGGCACGACATTTTGATATGGGCAAGGGCACTCACTGGTTGATCTTGTACCCTCTCCTCTGCTTTTACTGCATAAATGAACACAGTCCTATTATTCTAAATGCTTCTGAATCTCATGAAAAGTACCTATCTTCTCTTAAAATTAAAGAACAATTGAAACTTCCTTCTTTCATTGTAAGTTATTTTGGCCAGTTGTTTGGATAAACACAATCTCACTAAACTAATTTTTATAAAGGTTTGAGTAAATTTTAGTCCTTTAACCCTGACAGTAGTTCAGAAGTGTCCTCATAGATGCAAATAAATCTCTAACTGGTGGAATTTGAGGAAGCATAAAAGTAAAGTGAAATTTAAAAAAGAAAATCAGACATCAAAAGGAGGAGATTAATATTCAAGCATGGTTCGTATCATAAGCTAGTCAGTCCTTCCTGTGAACACACCTACAGGATTATCTTCCCTAAGGAGTTTCCCAGATATTAATGTGCATAAGAATCATATGAGGTGTTAAAAATGAAAATTCCCTGATTCTACCTTAGATAATCTAAGTCAAAAGATTTGAAATGGAACCAGGAACCTGAAGTTTAACAAATATCCTATATAATTCTGAGTACTGAGGCAGGTAGTCCTTGAATCTCAATTTAAGAAACACTACCCCAAAATATCACTGATTTTTGGAAGCTTTTTCCCTCATGAAACCACAGAGACACCAAAATCTCAAGGTTCTTTTCTTTTTCTTTTTAACATGAGCCCCTTGGTCGTGGTTGTAAGGTCTAAGGCATATAAGTTAGGTGTTTTTATGTAAGTTAGATGTTTATAAGTACCTGTGCTTGCAAAGAGCAAACAATCTGGTGTAGGAATAAAGGCAGTTAAAGGACCACAATGTGATAATAGCTTGCATTTCTATTATTCAAAACTATCATTCCATTTGATAGTCATCTGCAGGCTGATCTTAAAGCTCCACACAAACACAAAATGAAAGGCTAAAGTAGAATCGAAGATGAGCCCTAACAAACACACACACAGTCTGTTGCCAGAAACTTGGAGACCTAACAATGGTTCCAGGTATTGAAGGACATTTCTGTCCAACTATTACCTGAACACTAAGCTAATCAGAGACTTCAGGGGCCACTTATGACAAAAAAACACAAATTACAGAATTAGCTTAGGAAAGTCAATAAAAAAACAACAGCAACAACAAAAATAATGACAAATCCTGGGGAAGGGGAAAATCTAATTCCCAGAGTTGCAACACTATATTATTTAAAATGCTGAGTTTTTAACATGAAAGATCAAGATAAGTAAAGATATAAGAAAGTATGGTCCAGGGCTTGAATGTAGTTCAGTAGTACAGCATATGGTTAGCATGCATGAGGCCTTGGGTTTGATCGCCAAGCACCACAATTAGAAAGAAAGGAGGGGAGGGAGATTGGCTCATAAGGGAAGTAGGAAGAAGCAGTCACTAGAAACTGGCATTTTGGGAAGCCCAAACATTGAACTTATCTGCTAAAGACTTTAAAACAGTAGTTTTAAATATGTCCAAAAACTCTACAGTAAATAATGTCCAAAAACATAAGGTATGAAAATGATACCTCACAAACCAGAATATCAGAAAAGTGGTCAAAAGTGTTTTCTAAAATTCTAGAGTTGAAAAATATGATAACTGAAATGAAAAATTCACTAGCGAGAATTCACTTCAACAGAAGTTTTGAGCAGGCAGAAGAAAGAATTAGCACACTTGAATATGAGTCAATTGATATTATCCTGCCTGACAAAAATAAAGAAAAACAAATACAATTTGTGAGATCAATTATTCCAACCTAAGTATAATAGGAGCTACAGAAAGGAGAAGAGAATGAGGCAAAAATATTATTTAAAGAAATAATTTGTCCAAAGCTTCCCAAATTTGATTTACAAAATAAATGTATACATCTAAGAAGTTTAACAAAATATGAAAAGAATAAACTCAAAGAGATCCCAACTCAGCACATAATAATGAAACTGTTAAAAGCCAAAGATTGAGCAGGAAGAAATCAGGAAGAAAAAACAACTTATCATGTACAAGAATCTTTACTAGATTAATACCTTATTTCTTATGAGAAACCATAAAGTCCAGAAGAGAGTGGGATGATGTTCAAAACATTGTAAATCAAGAATTCTATATCCAGGAAAATTATCCTTCAGAAACGAAAAGTAAAACAAAAATGAAAAGAATTGAGCACTATCAGAAATGCCCATGAAGAAATACTAAAGAGAGTTCTTTAAGCTGACATGAAAGGACTGTAAGTGAATCCACATGAAGAAGCAGAGTATCTGTAAAAGCCATGGCATAGGTAAATATAAAAGCCAGCAAAATCCATGCTTCATTTGTAATTTTTTTCTCCTATCTGATTTAAAATTCATAAAGAATAAAGCAATAACTATCAATCTGTGTTGATGCACATACAATGTATAAACATTGAATTTGTATGACAATAGTACAAAGGAGGGGAGAGGGAATGGCACTATATAGGAGCAAAGTTTTTATATACGATTGAAATTTATTTGGTATTAATCCAAACTAAGTTGTTAAAAATTAAGATGTCAGTTCTAATTAATAGGTTCACTACTTGGAAATTAACAATGATGACAAATATATAAAAGGTAATTAAAATGGCACTCTAGAAAACTTTCATTTAACATAAAATAAGACAGTAATGGAGAAAGTGAGAAACAAAACTCATAAGGCATATAGAAAACAAACAGCAAATTGGTAGATACAAATCCTACCTTCAGGAATTACATTAAATGTAAATAGATTATAATACCAATCAAAAGATAGAGATGGGCATCACAGATAAAACAACATGATCCAACTACTTAGTGTCCACAATATATACTTTAGACTTAAATAAGACACAAATAAATTGAAAGTAAAAGAATAGGAAAATATATACCATGGAAATAGTAACCAAAAGAGAGATGGAATGATTATTCTAATATCAGACAAAACAGATTTCAGGCAAAAACTATTACTGAAGATAAGAGAGACATTTTAAAATGATAAAAGAATCACTACATTAAGAAGAAATAATAATTATAAACATATAAGTACCTACCAATAGAGCACCAAAATACAAAAAGCAAAAACTGACAGAATTGAAAGAAGAACCAGATAATTCAACCAACAAAGTAGTTGAAGAATTCACTAACCTACTTTCAATGATGGTAGAACAACCAAAATTCAACAAAGAAACAGAAGATGTAAACAACTCTATAAACCACTAGATGCAACAGACATTATAGAACACTCTACCTAACAACATCAAAATATGCATTCTGCTCAAATGCACATAGAATATTCTCCAGCACAGACCATATATTAGGGTTAAAAATCAATAAATTTAAAAGTATTAAATTAAATTCATATAAAGTATGTTCTCTCACCACAGTTCATGGAAATTAGGAATCAATAGCAGAAGGAAGATTGGAAAATTCACAAATTTGTGTATAATAAGTAATATACTCTTAAATAATCAATGAGTCAAAGAAGAAATCATGAGAAAATTAGAAAACACGTTGGGATTAATGAAAACAAAATCACAACATACTTTTTATATCTAAATATGAGGTGTGCCTTTGAAAACTCATGCATAAGATAATGCAGGAATGTTCAGAAGTGGAATGATTAGATTATGAGAACTATAACTCAACCAGTGGATTAATCCATCTGATGCATTAATAATTTGAGTGAATCAATGGCAGGTAGGGCATGGCTGGAGGAAGTAGTTCAGCAGAGATGTGCCCTTGCTAACTATTATCCCTGGCTCCTTGCTTTCAAGCTCTTTCTGCTTCTAGCTGTCATGAGCTGAGCAATTTTCCTCTGCCATGTCCTTCTGCCATGATATCTGCCTCACCTTGCACTCAGAACTATGAAGTTGGATGAACATGGACTTAACCTCTGAAACTGAACCAAAACATGTTCCCTCCTCTAAGTTGTTCTTGTTAGTCACAGTGACAAGAAGCTGACTAACACAATACTAAATTTATAGTATTGTTCAAGTATTGTTCTAAGTTTAAATAGAGAGCTTAGAGGGAAATTTATGTTACAAAATATCTCAAATTAATAACCTACCTTTCCACCTTAAGAAACTAGGAAGGAAGAGCAAACCAAACACAGAGCAGAAATAGATACAGTATAAAATTAGAGATAAATGAAATAAAGAATGGAAATATAGAGAAAGTAAACAAACCAAAAACTTTGTCTTTGAGAAGATTAATAAAACGAACAAATTTTTAGCTAGACCTTTTTTTTTTTTTTGGTACCTGGGATTGAACCCTGGTGGGCTTAACCACCGAGTCACATTCCCATCCCTT